TGCCCCCCCCCCCCCCCAGCTACGTACGGGAGAAGACCAAGACGGCGGTGGACATGCGGGTGGGGGTGCACAGCGGGACGGTGCTGGGGGGCGTGCTGGGCCAGAAGCGCTGGCAGTACGACGTGTGGTCCACCGACGTCACCGTGGCCAACAAGATGGAGGCGGGCGGCATCCCCGGGTGAGCATCTCCGGAGGGGAGGCGGGGGGAACGCGGACGGGGTGGCCTGCGCCCAAGGGTGACGCCGGCGCCCGGTGCTGGCAGGCGGGTGCACATCTCGCAGAGCACCATGGATTGCCTGAAGGGTGAGTTCGAGGTGGAGCCGGGTGAAGGTGGCTCACGCTGCGAGTACCTGAAGGAGAAGGGCATCGTCACCTACCTCGTCGTCGTCCCCAAGCAACCCCTGCGCAACGGCATCAACGGGGTGGTGAGTGGCGGGGGGGGGGGGGGGGGGGGGGGGGGGGGGAGCCGGGGCTGGGGGGGACACCCCACCGCGACCCACCACCTTTCACCGTGCAGAAGCTGTCGCTGACCTCGTCCCATGGTGGCTCCCCGCCGTTGGTCAACACCAAGGAACGCAACGGCAGCCTCAGCCTGGCCTGCGCCAGCCCCGAGGAGCCCGAGGAGCCCGACGTCAGGGTGAGGGGCGCCCTGGAGAGCGGGGAGGAGGATGGAGAGGTACAGCCCATGCAAAGCATCCTCCTTCCAGCAGCTCGCCTGCGTTTGGAGGGCTGATGATAGCCACACTGGGGCCAGCATGGTCTTGCTGATGCGTTGGTTGTGCCGACGCAGGCGGTGAATCCCTCCTTCCCCAACCCGCGGCGGCGGCTGCGGCTGAGGGACCTGGCCGAGCGGGTGATCGACGCCTCGCAGAACGAGCAGGAGCTCAACAAGCTGCTCAACGAAGCCTTGCTGGAACGTGAATCCGTCCAGGCGTGAGTCACTCCGACCGGCGACACGTCCCGGCACGGCTTGGCAGGTCCCCGGTGCCACCGGGCAGTGACGGGTGGTGTCGCCGGCAGGCTGAAGGGGAAGAGCACCTTCCGGCTCTCCATGCGCTTCATCGACCCCGAGATGGAGACGCGCTACTCGGTGGAGAAGGAGAAGCAGAGCGGGGCTGCCTTCAGCTGCTCCTGCGTTGTCCTCTTCTTCACTGCCTTGGTGGAGGTCTTCATCGACCCCTGGTACGGTGGGAAGGTGGTGGGGACGGGTGGCCCCAAGATGCGCTCAGCCCCGCCAGGCTTCAAACCCATCCCTTTTTGGCCTTTTGGCAGGTTGGTGGCCAACTACGTGACCTTCGTGGTGGGGGAGATCCTGCTGCTCATCCTCACCCTCTGCTCGTTGGCTGCCATCTTCCCCCGGGTGAGATGGGACAGGCTCACCGCTCATGGTGATGGGACACCGTGATGTCCCACCCCTGTGTCCTGCCTGGGCGAACCCCTTCCCACCTTCCTCTCCCCACAGGTCTTCCCCAAAAAGCTCGTGGCCTTCTCCACCTGGATCGACAGGACCCGCTGGGCACGCAACACCTGGGCCATGGCCGCCATCGTCATCGTCACCATGGCCGACATCGTGGACATGGTGAGCTACCAGCCCGGGTGCCAGCAGGGCTGAGCCTACTCCAGCCTCCATCCAGGCAGCCCATAATTGTGCACGGCCCCGTGCATGGACGATCGTTAAAGCAATCAGCAAGGCTGCACTGCGGATGGGGGGATTTTTAGGTCGGGTGTCCTCCTGCTGTGCAAAGCACCCTGTCCTGTTGGGTGGCCATGCAGCCCGGGAAGAGGTGCACCCCGTCCCCGTGTCCCCCTCCTCACCCTGCCCTCGTGCCCCCAGCTCAGCTGCCGGCAGGACCACGTCGAGACGGGTAACGGGACGGCGGGGCCACCGTGGCCGGGCGGCTGCGGGGAGCAACCCAAGTACTACAGCTACATCGCCCTGCTGGCTTTGGTGGCCACCATCATGCTGGTGCAGGTCAGCCACATGGTCAAGCTGACCCTCATGGTGCTGATCACCGGAGCCGCCGGCACCGTCAACATCTATGCCTGGGAGCACATCTTCGACCAGTACGACCGCCGCCGTGGCCAGCAAAGCACGTAAGGGGTGGCGAGGGGGGGTGGGGCATGGGTTGGGGGCATGGCCATGCCCACCACCCACCCACGCCTCGCTGCCTCTGCCGGCAGGTCCTCGCTCGTCCCCTCCAAGTACTCCATGACGGCGATGATCTTCATCGTGATGCTCAGCTTCTACTACTTCTCTCGCCACGTGAGTGACTCGCCCACCCCACCCCGGGAAGCTCCCCTCTACATCCTCACCCTCAGCCCCTGCCCTTATGTTTTTGCAAGCTCCGAGGCAGCAGGATTTGTCCCCAGCTGTGGACAGCATCATCAGCTCTTCTCCAAGGCAGGCCTTTCTCTCCATCAGTGCAGAGAGCACCTCCATCTCACCCCTGTGGGTAGGGCTGGGCAGCAACGTGGTGGCCCGAAGGCCCACGCCTGCCCCACGAGGCTCCCATTTGCACCTTGGAGCAGGTCTCATGTCCCCAGTTAGGGCTTCACCTTGTCCCAGAGCCTCTCTCCAGGGTGTCCCCGAGCCCGGACTGACCCCACAGGGGCCAGGATGCTCTCAGCGCTGGAGGGGACCCACTGGTGGGTGGGAACTGGGGGTGCAGCCATCTCCTCCCACCCACAGGTGGAGAAGCTGGCCAGGACCCTCTTCCTTTGGAAGATCGATGTCCACGACCAGAAGGAGCGGGTCTACGAGATGCGGCGCTGGAACGAGGCCCTCGTCACCAACATGCTGCCCGAGCACGTGGCCCGGCACTTCCTGGGCTCCAAGAAGCGGGATGAGGTGAGGGGCACCTGGAGGGGGGGATTTGACCCCATTATTTTTGGAGGGGGTTCCTCTGGATCCAGAGGCTTTGCCAAAGGCTCTGGCGGAACATCTTCGTCGGATGAAGATGATGTCTTGGCTGTGCGAGGCGAGGGTTGCAGAGCACCCTTATTTTTTCACACGTGCCAAGGGAAGATGGCTTCACAGGAGGGTTTGGGTTTGCTGGAGGTGCTGGTGTCATGCGTGGGCACGTCCCCGGCTCACAGCCACCGTCCCCTCCTGTCCCCAGGAGCTGTACAGCCAGTCCTACGATGAGATCGGCGTCATGTTCGCCTCCCTCCCCAACTTTGCCGACTTCTACACGGAGGAGAGCATCAACAACGGGGGCATTGAGTGCCTGCGGTTCCTCAACGAGATCATCTCCGACTTTGACGCGGTGAGTCGGGATGGAGCCGGCCATGGGGATGGCATGGGGCTTGGCCAGACCTTCCCTTCATGCCCTATCTGGGGGCAGAAGGACCTGCCATGGCCCCAGGGTGCCTGAGGGTCTTGTCTCCACGGCTCAGCTCCTGGACGAACCCCAATTCCGGTGCATCACCAAAATCAAAACCATCGGCAGCACCTACATGGCTGCTTCTGGAGTGACCCCCGATGCCAACGCCAACGGCTACAGCGCCAAGGTGAGGGGTCCCCGTGGTGGTGGGGCAGCGGGCAAGGGGTGGGCAGGCCTGACCCGCGCTGCCCTTGCAGAAGGAGACCCTCTCGGATAAGGAGCGCTGGCAGCACTTGGCTGACCTGGCTGACTTTGCCTTAGCCATGAAGGTGACGTTGATGAACATCAACTACCAATCCTTCAACAACTTCATGCTCCGCATAGGCAAGTCCGTGAGCGTGGGGCAGGGTCTGCCTCGGCGTCCCCCGTCCCTCCTTCCCCGCGAGTGGTGGGACGCTGGGCAGCAGCTGTAGTCCAGCAGGGGCTGGTGGGGGGCACCTCATTGCCCCGACCCATCCCCTGGGACAGATTCTCCTGCAGACCAGGACGTCCTCTCCGTGTCACCAAGCACGGAGGTGACATCTACTCCTCGTCTTGCACAGGCATGAACAAGGGGGCCGTGCTGGCGGGCGTCATC